CCTCCTCCTCCTCCTCTTCTCCTCCTGCTCCCCCCCCTCCCTCCCGAGCCTGCTCCTTCGGGCTCCTCCGCGCGTCTCGGGGAGAGGAGGCGGCAGTGTGACTCCCAGCTAAACCCAGTAGAAATTCCTACAGGATTACGCCCCGATTGGCAGCTGCGGGGACCAGTGGCCGCCGCCGGCTCCGCGCGGTGGCTGCTCTGGGTCTGCTGGTCCGCAGTCTATGCTCCGCTCCGGTGCTCCTTCAATTTCTGGCTCCCTTTTCCCCTCCTCTTTCTCCCCTTTCCCTTTCTCCTCCTCCGTGCTCTTTTCTTCTGTATTTTCTCTTCTCTTCAGTTTAACTTTTCTGGAAAAAGATTGGTGAGATAACGAGAGACATATTTAGCTTTTCTGCCTGCGAGAATTAGACCAGTAGCCAGAAACTGCTTTGAGAGTTGGAAAAACACACGCGAAGTTTCCAGATGCTTTCGGGCAGTGTGAAATGTTCGTAAATCGCTAGTTCATGAAAATTGTATTTTAAAAGAGAAGACAATAAATATAATAAAATTTATGTTGAGTATTTCCCACCCTCCTTACCCCTCGCCCTTAAAAAAAAGACGTGGAGAAAGATTCCCATAAACCCAAAATGCAACACTTTCAAAGCTCATAATTTCATTAAGGGCTTAAATACCATTTCTGCCTCACACACAGTTTAAGCCCTTAAGGCATTTTATAGGCTCTATTTCAGCACAGGGTGTTAACGTTTGGAAGCTACAAATAGGGCAATTTGGTGAGAAATTGGATAGAGACCCTGAATAACAAGAGATTTAAGAGAACTTCAAAGAAAAGAGGGATAAAGTAATTTCTAGTTTGAAGAAAATAATGAGCCTGTATTTCCTGAATGGAAGTAATTGATCTGAAATATTTTGTTGTGAAATCCTTTTTTTCAATTCCGTGTCTAGAGTATGCTACAGGACATGGCAAATGCATACTCCCTTCCGGTTTCTAGCACTATTTTTCTCTCTGACTTACAGACTAAATGAGTTACGTAGCCAGTCTTCTCCTAGAATGCCCACTCCAGGAGACCAGAGACATTTTCTGTCTCGTTCACTGCTGTATTATCATTCCTGGTACATAAAAGTACACATAAATATTTCTCAGATAAATTTTTATCTAAAACTCAATCTATGCTGCAGAAGAGTTGTGAGCTTTTATGAAACATAGATGTAGATACAGATACTAAACTATGAAAATTTTTGAACTTAGTATTAGACTACAATATAGCCATACACTAGGTGAAAATTACAGTGTCTTAATAACCTTTCACTGCAAGAAACCTCAGAGAAAAAGATTTAGACAACTGGAGAGAACTTTAGGAAACACAAAGCCTGAGACATCCAGCTCTTTGGTTTTAAGTCCCAACTACCAAGCTCCCAACAGGCAAATCTAAGGCGTTGGCAGCTAAAAGGTAATATGGAAAGCTGAAAGAGTGGGTGAAAGAGAAAGAAAAGAAGAAGAAGATCAGGAGGCTGGAAGTTGTAACAGCAGATGCTTCTGACTCCAGAGAAACTGAGCTGGCACCTGGGGGTCAATGTGGGTCAGGCTTGGTTTTGGGGAGAATGAACTGACAGTATTTTAAAGATGGATTCTTTGTGGGTTGAACATGGCTGAGCATGGCCATTCCTACTTCTGCAGGGCTGCCAGTCCAAGGGCCACTGTCATCCTATAACCTGGATGAAGTTATCCTTAGCAGACCCCTGGTGCAGAAGAGGGTCCCAGCTTTTAAGGAGGGAGACTTGAACCTGGGTCTATGGGTTTCCCAACCTGTGAGTTCAGAAGGATCTATTTGTGGGTTGGAGAATTTCTTGAGATGGGGAGACTTCTGAAAGGAGTACCCAAAGGACTGAGAGCAATACAAGAGAAATGCACCGAGCCATAAAAAGTCACTCTACCCAGAAAAGAAACCTAGTCTGCTCTCCAGGCTTTGGACAAGGCCACACCCCTTTTTTCCCCAACAATTGAGAACTTATCAAATAAATTAGAATTCCAATGAAAGAGGAAAATGCACTTCTCCGATGGCTCTCATGGTTGCTGCTGTTTACTGGGGCATCCAACTGACAAGCATGGCGGTTGCTCTTTGATTCAGCTTGGGAAGGCGGTGATAAAAATGAATTAACAGATGCATCTGTTGAAGGAATCTCCCTGTGCACCTGAAGACATACCCTAAAACTCTTGGCGTTTATGAGACTCTCTGTGACTTGGTATTATTTTTTATAAATGGTCATGTAGCATTGAGAGTATATGTAACAAGGCGATCGTACTATTCTGAGAGTCACACAATAGCAGGCATATGATAACAAATAAATATTCAAGATCTTGAGCTCGAATGTATGAACAGGTGTGGCCAAAAGGATAATCTGATGGTGAAAATCACAAATAGTGAAAGCACTTACACCAGAGCTGACTACAAAAAAGTTACCCACGTCAAGTGCGAGTAGGGGATGTCCCCCAGGGATGGAAATGTGTCTAAACTTGGAAATGACCAAGACCTGGGTCTTAGTCTGTTTGGGCTGCTATAAGAAAAATATCATAGACTGGGTGGCTTATAAACAACAAAAATTTATTTCTCACAGTTCTGGAGGCTGAGAAGTCCAAAATCAAGGCACCAGCAGATTCAGGGTCTGGTGAGAGCAGGCTTCCTGGTTCACAGAAGTCTGTCTTTTCACCATGTCCTTGTGTGGCAGAAGGAGTGAGAAAGTCCTCTGGTGCCTCTTGTAAGGGGGTTAGTCCTATCCAGGAGGGCTGTGCTCTCATGACATAAGCACCTTCCAGAAGACCCTATCACCAAACACTGTCACCTTGGAGACTAGGATTTCAACAAAGGCATTTTGAGGGGGACACAAATACTTAATCTATCGCTGCCTATTTGTGTGTTCTGCTAATTACATTTTTTTTAACTGATGAGGACCAGAATTTGGTAGAATTTTGTGCAATGTATCTCATACACTAAGTGTAGCTTGTGACTAGAGCCAAAAGCTTCTCTGTGATATATGTTTTCAGGTCCTTCATTTGAGGACGGTGCTTTGAGGGTCATAGCAAACAGCAGAACCAATTGCTTTCCAAACAGCTTCACTGATTGCTGGGGGAAAAAAAAACAACACCCTACCTCGAGAATTTTGGAAGACAATATAGCAAATGCACAGACTGTAGATCCAGAAATGTAAAAAATAGGAGATAATGAGAACCAGACAAAATGAAATAACAGACATGAAAGCTACTAGAGACATATTTTTTAACCTAAGCTGACACATTGGACTCTGTCACTACGGTATCTAATGATATCATATTATAACTGTGGACAAACAGGTGCTATGTTCCAGGGTGAGCTGTCAGAGCAGGAACCTGCAGAGGGAGAAAGATGCCACTTGGTTGTTCTTGGTTGCTTTTCCACTCACCATCCCCTGGAATGTTCCCAGGGGTCTAGGCTAAACATCCATTTAGTAGGATCAGCCCTGACTAATCTCACTTGTAAGATGATAGAACCTGAGAATAAAAGGCGATCCTGCCAGGCAGCTATTAATTACCCGTGCTAATAATGGCAAGTGAGCGGAGACCATGGTGAAAAACTACAGGCAATCCAAAAAAAATCTGTTCTTAGCCTCAGTCTTTCCACTGTTCTCTCTGTTCCCCTCCGTCAGCCCTGTGCCAGGGAAGTTGGCTGATTGGAGTTTCATAATTTGCCTCAGTAGTAATGTTGAACAAAATTATCACATTTTGGGCAGCAGGACACAGGCAGGAAAGTCAAGGTTGTATAATACATAAATTATCCTCTGAATAAAATAGGAGGCAAAACACTCTTTTGGTTGTCCATACAGAGTGGTATGGTTTTTGAAGGACTGGCAAAACTGGACACTGATTCATTTGATAAACATACATCCACATACCTGCCACATACCAGGTACTCATGGGGTAGGCACATGAATTTTCCTAAAATGTGTTAGTTAATGCATTCCAAACTAAGAGGTGTCCTGAAGTCACAAGTCTGTGACTAAGGTCCATGTCAGATTCCACCCTAAAATCAGATATGAAAACTTAAAAGAAAACATTATTTATAGAGTACATCATTCTTGGGCATCAAACATTTTCCTAAGAGTCATACTTGGATATGTGACTCTAGGAAGGCTCCATAAAGGCATCTTCAAATTATTTGCATTGCATTTGTATATGACCAGTTGGACAGGAATATCTAATCTTGGCCGATTTTATGTAAGATGGTACTACTCTTGTTACTGCTTTCTGTAGACTCTTTTTTTTTCCAGTTCCTTTCCT